AGCCGGAATTACAGGCATGTGCTACCACGCCCGGCTGATTTTTTGATTTATTATAGAGATGAGGTCTCCCTGCCCAGGCGGGTCTCGAACCCACGGCTCAGGCAATCCACTCACCTCAGCCTCCCAAAGGCGCGGGATTACAGGCTGAGCCACCGAGCCGGCTTGCCAATCCTTTTCTTATAGTATTTACAATAATTGTTCAGGGCCTACTTATGAGTGAGAACATGTGATACTCAGTTCTTTGTTTCTGTGATAGATCATTCATTATTATAGACTCTAAGTCCATCCAAGTTGCTGTGAAGTTCATAATTTTGTCCTTCTTTATAGCTGCATAATATTCTATTGTGTAAACGTACCACATTTTTAAAATCTAGTCATCTTTCGATGGGCAGCCAGTTGGTTCCATGTTTTTGCTATTGTGAATAATGCTACAACAAACATACACGTGCAGGTATCTTTTTCATAGAATGATTTGAGTTCTTCCAGGTGTATTCTCAGTAGGGGAACTGCGGGATCGTATGGAAGGGTGCTACTTTACCCCCAAAGTGCCTAATCTTTTGACAGGCACCCAATGTATTTGCTCTATGGGATTGATTGTGATAGCAGGAACAGCTAAAACCAGTTAGTGTATGTGATCCCATAGAATATGGACTAGCTGACCATTTGGGATTACAATTCTTCTAACAAATACACAAAGTACATGTGGAGAATCAAAGAAGTTTGTATACTTTTAAAGTATGTGTTATTGTCTTACATGATTTATTTTGTATTAAAAAATTGATTCAAGACATTTGTGTTCTTTCTTTCTCTCTCTTCTCACCCCTCCTTAGAATAATATAGCTGATCCAGAAGAACTGTTCACAAAATTAGAACGCATTGGGAAAGGTTCATTTGGAGAAGTTTTCAAAGGAATTGATAATCGCACCCAGCAAGTGGTTGCTATTAAAATCATAGACCTCGAGGAAGCTGAAGATGAAATAGAAGACATTCAGCAAGAAATAACTGTTTTGAGTCAGTGTGACAGCTCATATGTAACAAAATACTATGGGTCATATTTAAAGGTAATGTGTGTGTTGCATTATTTAAGTCATAAGGTATTTTCATCATACTTTTTTTAATTCTATTTTTTTAAGTCAATGACTTAAATTGGGATTTGGCAATCTTTGGCCTCCAGGCAGAATCCAGCTCCATTTATAATGCCAAATAAACTGTTGTTAGATTTAGCAGCTGTAACCTGAGTCCTCAGCTATACCCTTTTTCTACACCTGAACTTTTGGGTTGATGGAGGAGCAAAAATGCAGCTGGTCCTGGAGACATATCTCTTGTCAGGAAAGAGCTCTCCCCCGGGTTTTCACACTTTTCAGTGGTCTACTCTGCTTACTGTCAGAATTGATGGAATATGTATGTCACTTATTCCATTGAGTTGCGGTGGTTATTTATGCATTTCTCTCTCCCACTAGGTTGTGAGCACCTTGATGGCAGGCAGTTTAGTTTAATTAGTCTTGGTTCATCACTTAGCACAGGATATGGCACATCTTAAGCACATGATGAAATTTGTTAAAGTGAAATTGAGTGGAATAATATGTGTTTTTCCTCCAAAACAAAAGTTGGGCTTGTACTGGTTCCAGGATCATGGAATTAACAGACACCTAAAGTTCCAGCAGATAGAGACGTTACTTGTATAACAGAAAACTCTTTGGTTAGTAAAACCCCAGAGTTCATGAGTTCCAGAGTTAGAAGGCAGGATTTGTATCTATTGAAATGTGAAGAATAAATAGCCAAAAAACTCTAGCTTAACTTAGAGTTTAAATTATTTTAAATTTAAATTTTTTTATCCCTCATTGAATGTTTTCAAAGGAAGGCAGTCTTAGATCTTTGTCTTTCAGGGCTTATAAGGGGGGAAGCATTTATTGTTGTTGATCAATCTGTAGACCAAAAAGAGTATGTTTCTAAGTCTTTAAAGTGTTGGCCTGCATAAAAATTAATGCTATGTTTTTATGCTCTGCTGACCAAATACCCTAGGATATTTATCTATATCTTCTCCAAAGAACCCATCTCCAAGTTCACAGATTTTTTTTTTCTTCTACTTGATTAATTCTACTGTTGACAGTCTTATTGCCTTTTTCATTCACTCACTGAATTTCTGGGATTCAGAATTTCTGAGTTTTTAAAATGATTTTATCTCTCTGTTAAATTTCTCATTTTGTTCATTTGTATTTTTTGATTTGTTTCTTTGTATTTTTTTGAAGTTTGCTGAGCTTCCTTAACACAATTATTTTTGAATTCTTTGTCAGGAAGCTTATAAACATCCATTTATTTGGAGTCAGCTACTGGGAAACAAGTATTCTTTTGGTGGTGAGCTGTCTCATTGTTTTTTCATGTTTCTTCTTGCCATATGTTGACATCTAAGCATTTGATGGAGCAATCACCTCTTCTAAACATTACAGGTGTCAGTGTGGAAAGACCTTGTTACTCTATGGAATAGTGCAAGGACAATGACTGGATGGACTGCAGCAGTTTTGGCTTCAATGAGGGCACAGTATATTCGAACAGTCTCTGTACAAATACGTCATTTGACATCAGCGTTGATGAAGATTGCAGGGATTCTCACTAGTCAACACTATGGGTGCCCACAGTAGCAGTGAGGGCTATTAGAGGTCTTCGGTGGCAAGGGCTGCTAGGGTCCTTTCAGTTTCTTCTTCTCTCACTGAGGAAGTCATTGCTGAGGAAATCCCTCTTGGTGCTAGGTTTGGCTTGTGGGTCTGCTCAAGGTGGCACTGATGTCTGATAAATGATGCCCATGGACTGACCACAGAGCTAAGGTGTCAAGCACAGGCATGCCCAAAAGGACTACTGCTTTGGGGTTCAGGGTGGTAATGGCACCAATGTCTACGGTACAGACAACCCCTGTTGCTCTGTTGTTAATGATGCACAGTGTGCAGGTGCTTGTAAAACAGGTAGAGACAGGAGGATGGGCATCATGCACAGAATGACAGTGGCTCTGGGGGCAGGGCAGGGCCTAGCCCTCTGTGGCAGCTGAGCTGGTATCCAGAGCACAGGCATGTTCAGAGGGACCTTGGCTCCAGGACCCTGGGCCAGCTTACTATGATGGTGGTGACTCTAGTGTTTCAACTGTGGATGGGTGTGCTGCAACCACTGAGCCTGTCCAGATTCCAAAGCACAAGCAAACTTTCAGTGGTGGCTGTGCAGATTTCCAGAGTACAGGCACACTCGCAGAACTTGGCTCTGGGCCCCAAGGTGTATGCTAGCTTTCTATGGAAGTGACTTCAGTGTCTGAAGCATGGTTGAGTGCAGTACAATCACCGAGCCTGGGTCTGGAGTGTGGACACTTGTGGGGTGACTGGAGCTCAGGGTTGGGATACTTGGGAGGTTGTGAGAGGTGATGGCTCCTTTCGCCAAGTGGCTCATCAGTGTCTGTTTCTTGAGCAGGGAGGGTTTTATAGCCGTGTCTCTCTCTGGGGTTCCCTAGCAGCAAAGGCTACTGACTAACTCTAGCAAGAGGTGCCAGTGCCCTCTGTGGAGCAGGTTGCTGAGGAGTATGGTGGCTCTGTGGTGATACCGATAGACTTTCTGTTCCTAGCCATCTCCTGGCCTCTCAGATATGCTGGTATCACCAGGATCTTTTCTGTAGGGATAGTCTCTCTTTTTTTGCTCCACTGTATTGCTGCAGATTCTTAAATGGGCTTTGTGGATTGTTGTCTATATCTGGTTTGTGTGGTGGAGGGGAGGAGGGGAGGGGAGTAACGAAGCTGGTGTCTTCTTCTCTGCCATCTTGGTGACCTCACTCTGTCATCACTTTCTTGATCCGTCTGTATCTATATTAGCTAATATAGAAATTAATCAATTTCCTTTTTACAAAGCCTTATTCTAATATTATATGCATGTAGAATGAATGCATAATAGAATGAATCATTAAACAGCTGCTATGTATCATATACTGTATCAGGAGCTGAAGATATAAAAATGAATTCACTACTGTTGTCAAGGCACCCACAGTCCAGTATTGCATTAAAATGGTGCGGATTTTATGGTTAAAGTATGTACAAAGAATAGATGAGGCACAAATAAGCAAGTAATCACATCTACTTTTCAGGAGTGGTATGAAGAAAAGACCTCCAAGAGAAAGTGATAATGCTAGTAATTTCTATCCAATTTTAGCATTTACTTCTAAGTGTTAACTGTTTCTGTATTTTACTACATACATAATTATTTGGTCCTCTGTGGGATAATTTTACTTTCATATTTGTTTCTTAAAAGCTAAGTTAGCAGATTGTATTTTGTTTTAGAAATCTTATGAGTGATTACTCAGTCTCGGTAGTTTTAGGTTCTCTTTGTAATTCCTGTAGCAGTCTTGGTTGTACACAGCCCCAGGAGTTTGTTGTCGTGTGTGTGTGTGTGTGTGTGTGTGTGTGTGTTTGTGTGTGTGTGTGTGTGTTCATTCTGGTTTACTCTTTCTGGATTGAATCCTGGTAATTCCAGATCTACTCTAGAGCAAAACTGAACCCCGCTATTTTTAGGCATCTGTAAGAGATAAGCTATTTTTGGTAGCTGACTTAAATATTAAATAAGCCCTATTTAAAATGGCTATTCTATAATATATTGAAAATCAATACTGGTGTGGTTTGATCATTTTATTTGTTTCATATATCCTTTGTTTACTCATATTTAGTACTCTCATGGAAAATGAGTTACAGCTCTTTGTAATTTTCCATTGCTAAAATTTTAGGGTTTTTTTTAAGTATCACAGTAATAGTGTGCATGTTCTAGTCACCTGGTAATTGCTTAATCTTTAAATAAATAAAAACTAATTTTTTTGTTTCCAATATTGAGTGTCGAATGTCCTCAGAACAATCCATGATACAAAACCATTGTCTAAAATGTCTTCCTAAAAAATTAAACTGAATTATTATCTCCTTTACATCTATGATGTGAAAGACTATTTTGAAGAACTTGTTACTTCATGATGAAATTATATAAAAGCACAACTGGCTGATATTGACTATTTTTGTTCTGAATCTATTTATGGTAAATAAATGTGTGTATATACGTGTATCTCTCTCTATGAACATAAGTATATGCACACACAGAAAAATATCCTATGATCCTATAACCTTCTCAAACTATTTATTTAAATCATTTTCTTAAATTGGCAAACTCATTTATTTTTCACTTATATTAAAACATCGTATGACTGTGTGGGTTTGCCTTTTTTTTTCCTAAGCTAAAATCACATCAAATGTAAAAGGGTTCTGTTTAATATGGTCAACATAATTCAAGACCACATTCTACTAGTACCATCAGGGAACTCCATTATCAATCAACTTATGTACTTATTATTCCCCATCCTTCCATTTCAAGTGATATGGGGCACTTTGTGAATCAAGTTAATTGAGCAAAGTAGGATATGGGTTTTTCTCATGTTGTTTTTACACAGAATATCATGCAAAACCAAGACTTCAGCATAAGCTGGAGGAAAAGGTCATTGCTTTTGAGAGAAAATTATACGCTCTTTGAAACTGTATGTAGTTGTAGTGATTTCCTTGAGACATGCAAAAAAATGTACTAGGTATTCATTTTGACTGAGCTCACTGTATAACTTCATTTTTTAAAACAAGAGTAAAAACCAGACAAACACATCAGTATGACCACAGTGTTTTCCTTTAATTTTAGTTCACTGCAGATTTTCTTGACAAAGTTAGTCTTTATGAAGAGTGCTAAAATAAGCAGACCCTTCCCTTCTGATCTCATAATATTGTAATAATCTTTCATAATCTTTAAATATTTTTCTAGTTCAATGTAAATCTTAAAATGAAGCTCACTCGGGCATTGAACAGAATTTGAATCATGCCTTTATTTGCTGCTGAAAATTGCCTTTAGATTTCTGTGTATGTTAAGAAAATGTTGTCTCTTCCCCCACCAGGGGTATTTATGAAAAAAAGAACTGAATGAATGAAGTAAAATATTTTAGAACAGTCTGTACAGTTTTCTGGCCTCATTATTTTTGCTGAAACTGTGTGTGTCCTTACACTCAGTTTATGCTCAATGTCTCTGGAATATCCTTTTATTTTTAACATCTTTGGAGCCCGTTTATAAAACTTGAAGAAAATTAAGGAAGGAATTTTTTTGTTCTTTCTTAAAATGTTCATTCTTTCCTCAAAATAGAAATAGCTTTAAACGTAATATAACACACCTCTAAGAAGCCTCACATTAGCCTGAATTCAACAAACATTTCTTTGTTAAGTGCCCACTATGTGTGTTCTTCTCATTCTGCATATTTGCCCTGGTCAATCTCATCCACTTTATTCTGATGACTTCTAAATTTGTGTCTCTGTTTGCAGCCTCTCTCCCCAGATATGTGTTTATAACTTGCCTCATATTAATAACCTGCTTATCTGTAAGAACATCAAGTGCAATAACCCTAAAACTGGTGCGGCTGCATTTGAACTAGGTCTTGAGTATGCTTTCGGTGGAGGTTGAGATGCGAGGGTGGGTTATAGACAAGGCATTCCAAGCTGGAGGAAAATGACTCAGAGGTAGTAAATTGTCTAGCTATATTTTAGGCAAGATGATCTTTACTGTCCCTTGCAATTTTATAAAATTTTATGCACTGAGTGTTTTTCTAAATTGTGGTAAGATGTACAACTTGCCATTTTAACCATTTTAAGTGAGCTCTGTGGCATTAAGTACATTCACATTGTTATGCAACCCTCACCATCATCCATCTCCAGAATATATTCATTAATTTAAACTCTGTATTCTTTAAATAACTCCCCTCTCCCCATAGTCCTTGACAACTGCCATTCTATTTTCTGTCTCTTTGAATATGACAACTCTAGGCACCTCATATAAATGGAATCGTATATTTGTCCTTTTGTGACTGGCTTATTTCAATTATGCAGCCTATGTTATGATTAGCTATTGGATTAATAGACTCGATCACTTAATTTAACATGCATATACTCTAAATAATGCTGTCTCAAATACATATAATGTTCATTTTAAATGATTTTTATGAACAAATGAATTACAAGTTCTATGTAGCATTTCTCCCCTCCCTGGCCAAGTGTCTGCATTAATGGCAAACAATTGGGGTTCAAAGGCCTAATGAGATGACAGAGTTGATACTTAAGAGACACCATTACTTTCTTAACAGTAGGCTCCAACTTCTTTCCAGTAACTAGTACAACTCTAGCGTAGTTACTCTTTAGATGTTCTGAATTTGGGGACAGTGTCCAGACTGTGAGTGACCACCCATGTTGCTGCAGGACTTTAAGCTTATTCCTTCAAACCATTGTTCAAATGGTTTTTATAAGTGGAAAAGTTGAATTTTCCTTCAGGGGCTACCTATGCTTAACTATACTGGGTTTATGACTATATTTTACAGTCTCTTGGCTCTTGAGGAATTGTAAACCAGTATATAGATACCATCATAGCCTTTTAAAGTATTTAAAAGGCAAACTAAACCCAACACTAAAGTCTTTTACTAGAAGTCAAAGGTAGAAGTTGTCATCCTTCAAAATAATAGGACCATAAGGTTAGGGGTTTTGGTTTGGTTTGGTTTTGCTTGTGATTGGTGATTCCACTGAGCCCCTGAGACCTGCTGTGAACAAGGAATTATTCAGAAGAGCTTCTATAGGTTAAGCTTCCTTGAGCAGCAAGGAGTCTCGCCAGCTCACCATTCCCATAGGTATTCACTCAAGCCTTGTGTCAGGTCCGTGCCTGCCTAGAGATCTTCTTAATGTTCAGAACTGTGGTCATCCTTCAGTGAGGCTTATCTCCAGAAGTGGCGATCAGAAGGAGGCAGCTAGAAAAGCAGTTAGGTAGCTCTAGTCCCCTGCATGTCTCAGAGGAGTCCTACTTCCACGGAGCAGCTTGCTTGCTGGTAGGATGCCTTATTTTCAGATCTGGAAATTGCTTAGTCGTGTCTTTGATAACTCATCAGTGTATATTACTTTGTAAAGTCACATTGCAAGCTTTCTATGAATATTTTTTAGTGACAGACAGTTGGCAAGTTTCCATTTTGAACTGGTACAGACTAAGAGACACATTGTTTTTAACTTGGAAAACAGATGCTTTCATTCATAGAGACCTGCAGGAATCATGTTTTATATGATCTTTTTCTTTTAAATGTCAGGTGAATAGGAAGCTTTCCGAATTTTATGATATAGTACCTGCCAGAAACAAAACTTGTGGCAAAAGAAAAAATTCTTAAGCTATATGTCATTGTAAGAACCACTTTTTCTTTTTTTTTTTAATTTTTAATTTTAAAGATGTGGGGTACGATTCAGGATTAGGTATACAAATGTTCATTATGCAGGTACCCTTGTTGATAAAGTGTGCCCCCTCTCCCCTGGCAGTTTCCCTCAACTGCCAATCCCACCCCACCCCCAGCAGTTTCCCACTACTGTCAATCCATTTCTTATAGTATTATGATAATTAAGAACCACTTTTTCTTCTCTTGGACAAAGGTATAAAGATATATCAGGTTCACGATTCTTGGATTCTGAGTGCCTAATTTCTATACCCAAATACAAGTTACATGAACCTTTCCTGGAACTCCTCTTCACTCGCCACTATTGTGGGAATTTACTTCTTGTCTTTACTACTGTAGACACCACTGCTAACAAAGTCTCAGCTTTCTTTGCTCAGTTCAAGCTGGCCAGCTATGGCAAGACAGAATAGATGTCAAAATTTGTGGAGGAGGTAGACAGGGTAAAGGAGCATTATTCCCCTCTTGCTCTTATGCATTCTACATTAGTGTCAGCATCAAGAAAGGAGAATTCTTTTGTCTTAATTAACTGAGCCCTCCCTTTCTGGTCTCTAACCTTAGGCACATCCCATTCCCCATACTACGATGTCAATTCCACTCTGATTCTTCAACCTTCCTCATCCCCTAAGCACTCATCGTCAGGTCACTGGAGTCCATTCTCTGCCTTGATAAGGTCCCAGCCCCATGGAGATACTTGGAGATTTTAAATTGAACTTCTGAGTACCTCCCAGGGATTTTGGAGTTTCAGGGCTACTGGCAGTAGCTTGAGAATCTTCATCCCACAGCTGGGGCTGTAAAGGTGAGAAATGTGTTTCTGGCATCCCAAGTTGAAGCACAACACTGAATATATTTTTCCCATAGAAAAATTGTTAAGGTATAAATAGTAGTGAGTTTCTCTGGTATTCTTCATGCTATACTGTGAATACATTCGTGTGAAATTGTCTTCTGGAAGTACTACCCCAGGAACCTAGACATTATTTTTATGGTAAAATGTTTGCTTTCAAAATTCCTAACGTCTTACTTAAAAATGAACTTTTGGAATACAATCCAGTCACAACTTGGATGCTGCCAGGATAGGAAAATCAACCTTTCTACTTCCAGTCAGTTTTGTGGTTCCACAAAAATTCAGAGAATACCACTCATGAAATAGTATATATAGAGAGATGGTCCCTAGTATTTCATATTATAGCTGGAAAAAGGGGTTTAATGGTTTCCCCCCCAGTGTTTAACTGATAGAACTAAATGGTGTATGTATGTTTGTGTGTACACCTGTTTTTGTGTATACTTGTTTTGGAATTCATAAGATGTATCCTCTCCCCCGCCATGAGTCATATGTCTTCTTTTTCAGTTCACAGTGAAGTTAATTCCACCTGGAGTAATCATATGCTTTTTAAGTTAGACACTCCCCCTTTTTAAATCCATTTATACCAGAGGAAAATTAGATAATATTCTCCCTAGCTTCCATGTATGTACTAAAAAAGCCCATTAATCATGACTGATAAAAGTTGTGGAGTACATTAAATCAAATGAAAGCCAACAAGTGAAATACAGCAAAATATTCATTGTCCTCAAACTCTAAAATCACATGTGAAGCACTCAAAATGTCTACAAGTCTTCATTTACCTCCTCATTCTTCAATGTAACTATCTTTTCCTTTTAATATCATGATCCAAGATAATTATTTAAAGGTAAAATTTATCTTTCTGGGTTTTATATAAAATTTTTAATAGTTCAACAATAACAAATAGTCTTGTTTTGTCATATCATAGGCAAAATAGACTGGGTGGGAGTCTAAACTCAGAATTTTACTTTCATTTGCAATGTTCAATGGAAAAATTATATTCTGGGCTCCAGGTAACCATTTGTTTTTTAATTGCACACGAGTATTTAAAACTTTATTTTTTTAATTTTTATTTTTAGATTCAGTAGTACGTGCAGGTTTGTTGCATAGGCATACTGCATCATGGTGAGGTCCAGGCTTCTACTGAGCCTGTCACTCTGTGAGCGTGGTACCCAGTGGGTAGCTTTTCAACCCTTAGCCCCTCCCTCCCAGCCCCCGTTAGGAGTCCCCAGAGTCTGTTGTTCCCATCCTTGTGCCTGTGTGTGCATTCAGTGTTTAGCTCCCACTTATAAGGGAGGACATGTGGTATTCAGTTTTCTGTTTCTGTGATAATTTGCTTAGGATGATGGTCTCTAGCTGCATCCATGTTGCTACAAAGGACATAATTTTGTTCCTTTTTGTGGCTGCAAGCAACCACTTTTAAACTTGTATTTTTGAATGTGCATTAGTATGTGAGATGTAACACTTTTGCTAGTATGTTATTTTGCCTCATGTTTGTAATTATTAAATTGTTTCATGGCTTTACAGGGTTCAAAATTATGGATAATAATGGAATACCTAGGTGGTGGCTCAGCACTGGATCTTGTAAGTATTTTTAAGTAATTACACATACACACATGCGTGTGCACACACACGCACATCTACCCATACTTTAACTTTTTTTCTTCTCATTGAAGGGCAATGACTTTTGGGCAAACTAAGTGGCTGCTTTAGTTAATATGTTCAAATTAAATTATTTATTTAGGACAATTGCCCTTATGTAGGTACAGATGTATTGTAGGTTTGAGCATGTTGCCATCATTCTAGTATATAAGAAGTGCAAATCACATAATAAAATAAAATCCTCAAAATTAGAAGCAAATGTATGTCAATTGATGTCAGTTTTAAGTCTGACTTTTTTGCAAGCTTATCCCTGAAAAAAACTGAGTGTTCTTAGATTCTACAAAAATATGTAACCGAATATGGTGGCTTATGCCTGTAATCCCAACACTTTGGGAAGCTGACGTGGGAGGATCACTTGAGGCCAGAAGTTGGAGAGCCTGATCAACAATGCAAGACCTCATCTCTCTAAAAAAAAAAAAGGGAAAAAATTAGCTGGGTGTGGTAGTGCACACCTGCAGTCCCAGGTGTCAGTTGAGAGGCTGAGGCAGGAGGATCACTTGAACCCAGGAGTCTGAGGTTATGGTGAGACATGGTTGTGCCACTGCACTCCAACCTAGGTGACAGAATAAGACCCTGTTTCAAAAGAAATAAGTAATAAAAATAAATTAACAATATGTAATTGAGAGAACTGTCACTGGAAGTAGTTATTATGGACTGAATGTTTGTGTTCCCTCAAAGTTCATATGGTGAAATCCTGTCCCCCAATGTGATAGTATTAGGAGGTAGGGCCTTTGAAAATTAATTAGGTCATGAAGGTGGAGTGCTCATGAATGGCATTAGTGCACTTATAAAAGAGACCTGAGAGTGCTCTCTAACTCTCTTTCTACCTTGAGATGATGCAGTGAGAAGAAGGCCATCTGGAAACTAGGAAGAGTGCCTTTATCAGATACCAATCTGCTAGCACCTTGATGTTGGACATTTTTCCCAGTCTCCAGAACTGTGAGAAATAAATGTTTGTTGCTTAAGACATTTACTCTGTGATAGTCTGTTACAGCAACCTGAATTGACTATGATAGTGGTTCTAGGATTCTTGCCAAGTAGGCCTACAGATCCAGTTCTCTACAGAGTTTCTTCTGGCCCTCTATAGGTCATTGGAAATGCAGTGGCATTTTTGGTGGTCACAATGACTTGGGACTGCTGCTGCCTTTTTAGTGGGCAGAGATCAAAATGCTAAAATCTTACAGTTTGCAGGAAAATTCTACCTGATGAAGACGTGTTCATACACATAATGCCTTTAAGAAACACTATTTTTCCCAAGTTAGTGTGGCCCTATTCTATGTTGGGTTATTTTTTTTCTTCTTTAAAATCTTTAGTACTATGACATTATATTTACAATTCAATATTTATTGTGAGAGGAAATGTGATGTAGTAGAATGACCACTGGGATTGCTTATGGAGGTCTGAGGTTACAGAGCTAGCTCTACTCATAACTAAATCTGTGACTATGAATGAGACGCAAACTTTGTGGACTTGGGTGTACTATAAAATAAAGAAGTTGCACCATATTATTTCTAAGTTCCCTTTCACCTTTAATATAATATGACTTCTATCTGCATTCTTCTGTCTTTGAAATTATAGAGTGTGCTGTTTTTAAGAAGAAACCATTTTAAGATCACCAAGTAATATTTTTATTATTTTTTAGGTGGAGATGGTTTCTCCTAACCAAAATGATTAAATATTTTTTAAAAGGCTTTAACCTTGACTGCCAGTGACTCAAGGATTCAAATAATCCTATGAACAGAAATGACTATAAGAGATTTTCTTTTCTTTAGGCATAACCATATTTAAATTCTAAAGAAATGGTAATTAAACTTGATGGAGAGCCTCATCTACTATTAGGAATTCATGTCAGTTTAATCAGTTGCTGAATTTGGTAATCCTTCCTTGTGTCTAATCTAATTCTTATATCCTAAAGCTTGAGTTCATTTTTTTCTTTCTCTCCTCTCTAGTGATAGAACACCACTGGTGTTTCTTTGTTTAATAATCCTTCATGCATACGGACTCAGGCTTCATTCTCCTCTTGAAGTTAAATGATCTCATTTCTATCTCAATCGTTTATTCACAAGAAGGCTCTCAATTGTCCCATGGTCCTCCTTTTTTTTTTTTTTTTTTGACTAGTAAGAGCTCTTTCAAAATGTATCAGTTACCTTACTTGGTCCCCCAAGGTGCTCACTATGTCATTCCTCATTTTGTAGGCACTGGCAAAGCTAGGCCGCTCTGTTCATCAAAATCACTGATAGGATTATTAAGCGTTGAACACTGGCCTAACCTCAACTAACCACCCTAATCTATATCCCCTAGTAGTAGTTTGGTCAGTTTTATTAAATCTTAATCCGGTCCTACCATTTTGGTTTCTACTGGATAACAAATAGTGACAGGGCACAGTGACTTACATCTGTAATTCCAACGCTTTGGGAAGTTGAGGCAGGAGGATCACTTGAGGCCTGGGGTTTGAGACTAGCCTGGGCAACACAATGAGACCCAATCTCTACAAAAATAAAATTTAAATTAGCTAGGCGTGGCAGCAAGCACCTGTAGTTCTAACTACTCTGAAGCTTCCAGTGAGAGTATCACTTGAGCCCAGGAGTTAGAGGCTGCAGTGAATTATGATTGTGCTGTTGCACTCCAGGCTGGGTGACAGAGCAAGACTGTTTTTTTAAAAATAGCAATTGGTATCAATTCAATCAATTTAAAATGTTGTCAGCATTGTATTAGCTGAGAATCGAAAGACCTAGGTATCAGTCCCAGTTCTGCTACTGACTGCCAGGCTGATATTGGACAAGCCATTTAACCCCTTCGTGCCTTAATTTCTTCAAAAGTTAAATGAAGAAATTGAATTAGTAATTGCTAATTTTGTTTTTCTATCTGTAAAATTCAGTAATATTGTTATTTAATTATAAACTTCATTTAACTAGACTTCATAGGGAGAGCAGATAATGAGAAGATGTGCTATTCCTTTTCCATGTATTCTCCTGTACAAATGAATGCTATTATTTGGTGAATTTAAGAAAGAAGTACATTTAATGTACAGGAGGGCTCTGCTACCAGAAACAAGAGGGATTTGAGCAGAGAGTGTTTCTCACTTCAAACTGGTAATTGATGCTTGACTAATAGAATAACATACAATTATGGCTTGTAGTTTATATCAACATCATATAGTGTGTACTTCAAGAGTCCCTCCCATTCTTGAAAAATAATTAGTTGAATGTGAGAAGACTTTGAGAATATTGTGCATCATTTAATTGAATTTTTTTATACTACATTTCTTTCCAAAAATAATTGTAGTGGCTTATAACACAAACATATAAAGTGAATAAAATAAAACATGAGCACTAAGAAAAAAAACCTTGGAAATAATATGCTAACCATAAGAGCAGGCATAACATAGCATGCTGCATTAAGGACTGGCTGGAAGCCAAAAAAAGTGGGGGAAAGATTCAGGAGCCCACAAATGTAGTCTTAAAAGAGCAAATGTCCCTCTCTTGCACATTCTCACTTGACAACAGATGCAAATTACACAAGGTCAGTACACTGCCCTTAGGCAGAGGTGTTACCTATTAGAGATGTGGCGAAGGCTTCAATCATTAGAGAGAAGCTCAGTTATGTACTCTGAGGACAGTAGACGCAGATCTTAACATTATCTCTCCCAAGGTTGTATCAGACATTTTTTTAAAGCCTTTGTTTCATATACTTTACTTTCCCCCCTTTCCAATTCCCTTTTGTCTCTTCTCTAAAACTACCAACATATCTAAAGAAACATTATAACTACAAGTTCTGGTAAAATTTTCTCTGTGAAAATGAAGTAAAGGGCCAGGCTCGGTGGCTCAGCCTGTAATCCCAGCACTTTGGGAGGCCGAGGCAAGTGGATTGCCTGAGCCACAGGTTCAAGACCAGCCCAGGCAACTTGGCGAGACCTCATCTCTACAATAAATCAAAAATTAGCCGGGCGTGATAGCGCACGCCTGTAGTTCTGGCTACTTGGAAAGCTGAGGCGGAAGGACCGCCAGAGCCCAGCAGGTCAATGCTGGGGTGGCCCTGAGCCTGCCACTACACTCCAACTCAAAAAAAAAAGGAAAGGAAAAAAAAAAATGAAGGAGAAAACCTCCCTACTCTACCACCTCATGCCCACTTCCCTGCCAGTCTTTCCTCCCATCCTCCTCCGGCACCCAGTTAATTGAAATTTTATTGAATTTTAATCTGAACCTAAAATATAGCAAATAAACTTTATGGATCTTTAGGACCTCTTATTGTTGTTTTTAACTTAATTCTTTAAAAAAATTATGTATTAGGTAGCATACCACCTTATTTATGTTATGTTTAGAAGTCCTTCAGAATGATAAATAATAGTCCTTGCATGGACTAGCCCAATTACTTAAGTAATCAAGGATATACCTTCTCTGCTTTTACCAGTATTTTATTATCACATGATACTAAGTGCCAATCTTAAATAGTACAACATTTGTCCTTCAGTTATTTGGTAGTACCCTCAGAAGTTCATTGCCAGCCATCAATAAAATAATATGCCATTTCCACCTTTTCTAAAAGACTTTAGAAACTACTTTAATTACTACTGTTTAAATAGAAACTTTGGGAGTGGAAGTTGATATATTTGGGAGTAAATAGATAATGTTACCCAGGAAAGAGACTTATTGAATTACAAACATCCCTGGAGTATACCATATACCCAGAACACAGTTAACATTAAATGGTGAGACCGAAGTATGAGTTCTATTTTGAGTTGTTAAATTTCAACATGAAAGTGCCTTTTATTCAGTATAAATATGGCATTCATGAAAGATGAAATACACAAGGTGCCAAAGAGCTGTGGATCCCTCCCAGTGTGAGGCAGAGTGGGCAATGTTTGATTTTCACCACCTCTTCCCTCCTTCCAGCAAACAGAACTCTACCTCAGCTCTGACTTTCAATCCCCACCCTTTCCTGTAATAATATTGTACAGTCCACTGTTTGTGCTTTATGGGGTACGAGAATTTTAAAATAACCATTTATTTTAAAGAGAGATTTTCAGATATTCCATTACAAGTTCTCCTGAAACCTAATCATTGCTTTCCTTGTATTCCAGTGGGAACTATTGGCTTTGGTACAGGGATGGGGAAAGAAAGGGAAATGTGTTACATTTATTTGAAAAACATTATCCCTCCATGATTTGAAAAGTAATTTTTTTTAAATGAAAGTCTGAATAGTTTAATTATTATATTCCTGGTTAAATGTGCAATTTGAGTCTCAAAAAGGCTCTATTCTTTATAATATTATTGAAACATATAAATGCTGACGGATATGATCAAGTAGTTGCTGTGGAAATCTTAGGGATTGTCCGGTCTAAAAATGAGTTTAGTGTCAATATGTAAGGACTGTTTAACAACAAATGCCAGAATTTAAGTAGCTGATTTCTTTTTTTTTCTTAATTCTGAAGAAAGGATAGGTGGTTCTGTCATTATTTAAGCATATTTGTTAAATCTTTGATGCAAATATCCAGAAACCTCAGAATTTAAAGCCTAGTATATAGATAATAGTGCTTGTAGTATTTTTCAAAATTAAATTTAATCATTTAAAAAACCTTCTCAGAGACCGAGCGCGGCGGCTCAAGCCTGTAATCCCAGCACTTTGGGAGGCTGAGGTGAGAGGATTGTCTGAGCCCACGTGTTTGACACCAGCCTGGGCGATATGGTGAGACCTCGTCTCTACAATAAATCAAAAAATTAGCTAGGTGTGGTAGCGTGCGTCTGTAGTTTCAGCTACTTGGAAGGCTGAGGCGGAAGGATCACCAGAGCCCAGCGGATCGACGCTGGGGTGGCCGTGATCATGCCACCACATTCCAGCCTGGGCGATGAAGTGAGACTCCAACTCAAAAAAATAACTCCAAAAAACAAAAAACAAAAAAAACCCTGCTCAGCCCTTTGACTTAAATTTGCTTTCTTCCTTCGCATTTAAACATTGTCTTCATTTGCTTAAATATTAGTTTAATAAACAGAACTGCTTCATCTGTCTAAATGATTCTCTTGTTTCAAAGATATCAACTCTGAATTTTGTGATTCCAAATTTTTATACGTGTGTGTGTATTCTTCCCATTAAGCTTCGAGCTGGTCCATTTGATGAGTTCCAGATCGCTACCATGCTAAAGGAAATTTTAAAAGGTCTGGACTATCTGCATTCAGAAAAGAAAATTCACCGAGACATAAAAGGTATACAAAAATCTAAAATGAACCTGAGAAAAATAGATGCATTCTGAGCAAGCTGAGTTCTTATTTCTTTTCTTTTTTCCTCCTAGCTGCCAATGTCTTGCTCTCAGAACAAGGAGATGTTAAACTTGCTGACTTTGGAGTTGCTGGCCAGCTGACAGATACACAAATTAAAAGAAATACCTTTGTTGGAACTCCATTTTGGATGGCCCCTGAGGTTATTCAACAGTCAGCTTATGACTCAAAAGTAAAGTGTTACCTGTACAAATCGTTTTGTTTTTCTTAATAAATTGTATGTAGAAACCATTCTAGTTTAAAAACTGCCTTATTTTTCCTTATTTCATAAGTGGTTTTTAAGCTAGAGTTATGTCATATTTTGCTACTTAGTTCTAAATTCCCCTGATAATGGTAATATTTGGACCCTATTCACTTCAGTGACTTTTCATCCCACTTGGAATAAAATCCTGAATCCTTAATGTGACATATAAAGGTCTATATAATCTGGCCATTGTCTGCCTCTCCCGCCTCATCTCCTAACACTCTCTTCCCTACTTTATCTGCTTCAGCCACAGTGGCCTCATTGTTGTTTCTCAAACATAGCAAGAATACCTTGACCTCAGGACCTTCCATCTGTCTGAAATAACTTTTTGCCTGATCAGGTCTCTACTTAAACATCACCCACACAAAAATGTCTTCCCTAGCCATCCTATGTGAATTTGTAACTCCTTGATCCATAATTCATATCTTCTTACTCTGTTTCATTATTTTCTTCACAGACATAGCACCATGTGATACATTAATGATTTACTTCCTTACCTGTCTCTTTTACTAGAATGTAAGCCCCTTGAGAGCAGAAATTTTGTCTGACATTCACCACCAGAATTCTCTGTGCCTAGAATGGTAGCTGGCACAAAGTAAGGAATTCAATCATTTTTTAAATAAGTGAATTCTGTTAATAAAAATGGATTAATATTACATTTCTTGAGAGACTGAAATACTGTATGATCATTATATTTCACAGACTATTGTAGCAGTATGTTGGAATGGAGTTACAAAGTCATATGTATTATATATAATATGTATTTTTATAGTGCTTATTTTATATATATATATATATATTTCTCTTATCATAGGCTGATATTTGGTCATTGGGAATTACTGCTATTGAACTAGCCAAAGGAGAGCCACCTAATTCTGATATGCATCCAATGAGAGTTCTGTTTCTTATTCCAAAAAACAATCCTCCAACACTTATTGGAGACTTTACTAAGTCTTTTAAGGAGTTTATTGATGCTTGCCTGAACAAAGATCCATCATTCGTGAGTATATATTACTATTACTACTATTTGTTTTCTATTATTAGATCTACTTATAACAAAGGTAGCTTTTCCTGCGGTGGGGAAAGGTGAAAATGGTCTAAGATCCATCCAGGACCTTGTTCTTCCCTCTGTATTGCTAATTCTATTCAGTTTTTAACCAGATCCTTAATTCTTTGTATCCTTCCCCGCACCTTTTTTGTTTTTCATCTTCCTTCTTATTCTATTAATCATGTCTTATTTCAAGGGGAAATAAATTTGAGAAATAAAGTTTATATTATGTAATTATTAAAGTATACATATAAATATGATTATTTTTATTAAGCTGCGTTTTCCCCTTTAATGAAAAGTTATGTTTATGTTTAATTATTTGTATTTAATGTTTAGAAACTTCAACGTGAAGTTTTTATACCTTTCCTAGTCTAGTGAGCTCTACTCATTCACTTGGCAAATTTGATTACAGTTTTTTACTGTTGGTAAAATAAAGCTGCCTTGTGACTTCTAGAGACTAGAAATACACAAGAACTGACTAAGCTTGATAAAATATTTTTAAGTTGATAATAAACATTCTGATATTAATAAAATGCAGTGGAGATATCCTCCATAGCACCTAGTGTTTGCATTTAGTTGCAGTAGGAATTGATGCTTGAGGGAGAGAGATTATAAGATGCGTGCAGATAGCAAAATTACAGTCTTGCTAGTTTTCTTCAATTTATAGTAAACGCAATTAAAGTATTTTCAAGCATTGCTTTGAAATATCTGTAAAGTTTTACTTTGCTTCCTAAATCCTGCCATGTGTTTCTGTTTCTCTGCTTTTAAGAAGGCCTTGCCTGCCATTTCGCTGGTAGGTAGGCCACCTGCTGCCCATTGGGCTTTAACAAATTGGGGTACCAAAGTGATACATTTAATTTGATTGCCTTGAGCCACTTCAATAATACAATTAACTATTTTTCCTACAGCATTTTAATCATCCTTATGTCTACAGACATACTTTTATCATTTTCAGCTTGATAATTCAAATGATTTTTTTACCACCCCCTTGTAATCATAAGCGCTAGAAATAGTTATGCATCCTTGATTTTTTTCCTTAGCGTCCTACAGCAAAAGAACTTCTGAAACACAAATTCATTGTAAAAAATTCAAAGAAGACTTCTTATCTGACTGAACTGATAGATCGATTTAAGAGATGGAAGGCAGAAGGGCACAGTGATGATGAATCTGATTCCGAGGGCTCTGATTCGTACGTACAAATTATTTTATTTGTATGTAGCTAGCTCATTTAAACATTGCATATCTTTTAACTATGATCCAGTGTGCTTGCTGTGGCATAAAATATAAACCATATTCTGAGTTTCACCTTAGAAACTGCGAAAGTCTTTTTCAATCACAGTCTGTGGAATACAATGAATTTGAAAACATGTTTTTCTTTGAGGTGAATAACTCTAGTTTTAAATGGTCTCGGTCTAACCCCTAGTGGATGTTGAGTATATTACAAAATTTTGGAACAAGATTCAATTAAAGGTGTTATATTAGTTTGTCCAAAGTAATAAGGTGCTATGTCTTCTCAGATTTTGATGGCAACCTGCAAAATCCCTCTGGAGAACTGACCTCCAGGCCTTTCCCACCTCTTGGTCACATATCAAACCATGATCACACCATTTAAATACTCAGTTATGTTTTGATTTTTACTCCTTGAAAAAGTTATAATGTTTTTTAGTGTCAGTATTTACATTAACAATTTAGCATCTAAGTCCCTAACTTAATTTAGACTAGGAAAGTCTAGAGGCTGTAACCAGAATTTAGTCCTCTGCCAGCTGAACTGGCCCAAAGGCAACAGCAAATCTCTTTAGATAATACTCCCAGATTCCTTCATTTATGAGAAATTACCCAGCATTTGAAAGAGATAAAATATATCAGGATATTTTGTACTCTGTTCAAATGGTTGTTAGTTTTATCTGCCCATGAGGGTTACCTGTGGAACCTTAAAGCAATCATAAGCCACGCTACTGGATATCCTGATTCAGATGTTGGGGACAGGTATTTACATATGGTAGGAGGTCTCAATGGGATTCTGAAGCACATTTATTGTAGAGAACCACTACTACTCTGTAGTAAAACATAGTATTCACTTGAAACTGAGATCAAATGCCTTTTCATTGGGACAAATATGTCTTCTGATTCTACCTTCAGTTTTCACCAAGCTGAATCATTTAGGAATCTCTTTGGCAATCTCTTTAGGGAATCCACCAGCAGGGAAAATAATGCTCATCCTGAATGGAGCTTTACTACAGTGCGAAAGAAGCCTGATCCAAAAAAACTACAGAATGGAGCAGTATGTATATGGCGATGATCACTTCCTCCTGACACACTTTTTCAAACAAATAAGTCATTTAAGTGGCCATTGATATTTTAAAAATACATTTCACCTAGAGATACATAAGCCCAGAGACTCATAGATATCTAATTTAATCCCAGAAGTTAGAAGAATTCTGGATGATGGGTGGTCATTGGTAACAGGAAGAAAGCATAGAGATTTGCCTTATATGGGGTCTTCTGATTTTTTTGGGGGGGGGAATTCAAATGAGTTTGCATTTATTATAAAATAAGAAAAACATGGGTTATTATTTTAACTTCATATGTATAATCTATATTATTTGTTCAAAGGAGCAAGATTTTGTGCAAACACTGAGCTGCTTGTCTATGATAATCACACCCGTGTTTGCTGAAGTAAGTACAGGTTCATTAGCATTGGATATCTATTTTAAGTCGTATAATATTTTTAATGTTATAGCTATTCATCTTTCTCAGCTTAAACAGCAGGATGAGAATAATGCTAGCAGGAATCAGGCAATTGAAGAACTTGAGAAAAGTATTGCTGTGGCTGAAGCTGCCTGTCCTGGCATCACAGATAAAATGGTGAAGAAATTAATTGAAAAATTTCAAAAGTAAGCTTGAAATGTCATTTTTAAAAATTATTTTGCATTTTCTATTGGATGTTAATTTATGATACAGTGTAATTACCTTGATTCAATCATATCAGTTATTCCTAACAAAGTCACCTTTAATACAATTTTGTATGCTTGAAGAGTTTTGTTTGCTACCCATCTTAAACACCAGCTTTTAGGATTATCTTTAGACACAACAAGGTAGTTTTCCACTGACTGAAATGGCCTGTTCTTTTTTCTTTTTCCCTTTTCCTACTAGTAGAAGCATAGACAGAAGTCACTGAGCATATTTTTATTTGGGTTCTTGTAAACAACATTTGGGAGTGCTTTTATTCTTGCCACTACCCTCAGAATTTTAAGAAACACCATGATTTGCAGAGTTTCTGGTGCTAACGTTCCTAAGTTTGACACCCCCCATATGAAAAGTTAAGGAATGGATTTAGGTAGAGGGACTCAATCCAGGTAATAAAAGGCCCTCATGTTTGACTTCAGTTTCTATGCTGTCTTTTGAAATATTTGTTTGATTTTGTTCACACTCAAAAAAGTTCTTGTATTATTATTATTATTTTTTTTAGTTTTATTTTAAAGATGTGGGGTACAATTCAGGGTCAGTTCTACAAATGTTCATTATGCAGGTACCCTTGTCATTTTTTTTTTAATTTAACAAGACTTTTATAGGCACACACACACACATAGCCCTTAGCTTAAGCAAGCTACAAAAGGATACTAATTTTAGCCGTAACCCCGTTATATCTCTTCTCAGTGCATCTTTATCTTTCTTTGTGTTTATGATGCCACTGGGATCAAGTTGAAACAAATCATATGACCTATAAAATCACACTCCTAAAGATCTTTCTATCTGATAAGGCCCACTTGTACTCATAAACTAAAGCCCCTCTTAAAATCCCTTTGATTTTAATGGAAAACTCCTATCTGTTTTCCAGTTTGCAAGTGAATCTATCAAAAGTTGTGAGATCAGATGCAGAAGGAATTTTTGAACTTGTTTATATTTTAATATCTGCATAATGATATTCAATAGAAAGAATTTGTCTTGTTTGCTGAATCGGCTCCTTCATTGTAGAGTTCATACAAATGGGAAATATAAACATGCATAGTCATACATCAATTTAAGTTTTTCTTAATTTTATAGGTGTTCAGCAGATGAATCCCCCTAAGAAATTAATTATTGGCTTCTGTTTCGTATGGACCTAGAGAAACCCACCAAAGCTATTTCAAGTTTAGCGATGCTTAATTCATGAGCTCCGTGTGCCTTTTGGATCTTTGCAACATTGAAGATTTGGAAGAAGCTGTTCAACTATTTTGTGATGGCGTTTATCATTTTATATTTTAAAGAGATTATTTTGTAAGGAGTAACTTTTAATACTATAGTTTTGCCTGTATTCTAGTAAATGTTGAGACACAGTTTTGCTTTTAGGTATCATTATTTTTTAAGCTACTAGGATGAATACTTTTGTGTTTTGATCTTTAGTTAACTGTATACTCATGAAACATACAGGTCTTTCAAAGTCACTCTAAATATTCAACTTTCATAAATCATCAGGCTTCATAAAGCTTTTATTTAACAAAACACAAGTATATTCTAAAAATGACTATTGGTGGGGAGGTGGAAATAAATTATGCCTTGTTAAAACAGAAGTTTTTAATAAGCTCTTGGAAATGAAACCTGAAAAGTATTGACTCTTCTACCAAGTTGGTATGATATTCCATGCAGCTCAATGATTATCACATTTGAGAGCCCTGTGTTTGGAGCATCGACAGGCAACATGTAGAAACAAAGGTACCTCTTGGTGTGCAGTATTTACCGTCTCTTTTAGATAAAAGAGGCAGTTAACCCTTATTTAATGTGGTTAGAAATTTAAAGCAAGATCATTTAGCTAAAAATGGGTTTTTGGTAATACTGGGGGAGTGAGTCTGGCTTCATTTTTAAATCTTCAGCTCAAATTGCATACTCATATGCTTGAATGTGGAGCGCTTAAAAATAAAGCTGATTGTCATGTGATTAAATACCTGGTCAACAGGTATGAGTATAACTTATACCAGCATATTTTTGTCATAGTAGTGAATTGTCCTTTAAACTATTTATACAGTTTTGGTCTTCATAATTAGCAGTGCACATCAGTAGTTCATTTTGAAAGGGTATTTAAATGAGCAGTTTTTAGTTCATATGAAAATAACCATAGTACAGGATTTCTGTCTATACAAAGGTAAGTTAGATTGTATAGTTAATTTTCAGTTATATTTATGGTACTATTAAGTGGGTAATACCTTTTTCTTTTAAACCCAGTATATATATTGTGCCTGTCTCAGTTCTGAACTGGGGCTTTATTTCAGTAGTTGTAGAATTATTGACATTCATTAGTCTTGATAATTAATGTTTTATTGTTTGGATCTGCACAACTTAGGTTTTGCACAAAAGTCATTTCAAAAAGTCTAAATAATTGCCAAATAGTAGAAGAAATATATTCTTTAAGTAAAGAAAAACAGTTTTTAGTCGAAGTGGCCATTGCATTGTCTTTTTAAACATAATATATACATACTTGAGAAAGTTGTGTTGTTATATGCCAAGAAAATTCTTTTCATTAGTGCCTATACTGTAACAATTACTTTTAATGCATTGTAATTTGAAGTAATGGTTCAGTTAAAATTTTCACCTGCTATGTAACTGAAGCTCAATTACAGTTTATAATCTGTAGTGGTCTGGAAATAATTTTGCAACTCGTGTCGTGGAGTAAATGAATATTTTTGTAAAAGTAAAAGTGACAAATTTATAAATTGGTTATTTGAAACTTTGCAACACAAATGCTTCCCACATACAAGTTGTATTGCTTACTCAATATTGTTATTAGTCCTGTAAACTGTTTCTAGATGAAGCATACTCCAGTGTTTTGGGAGGTCCAAAAATAAATGTTTAAATTTCATGGTCCTCAATGTTTGTTTTCCTTGAGGTGGGGGTGGAGTGTGATGTTTGATTTGTTTCAAATTATTTCTTCTTTGGCATTTAATTTACTATTGGAGCATTAAAACCAAAGTTTTTTGGAAACTAGAAGATACTCTTCACATTTTATTAAGCATCCATTATAGGTACAGTTAAAATCAGTCCTGATTTCTGCCTCCTGTATTGATAAAATTAATAAAAACCCCTTTCATTAAAAAATGTCCTGGGTTGAACAATAAATTATGTAACACCCTAATTATTGTTTTATTAGGACATCATATACAGGAATACATTTATTAAATGTTTTCAAAAATTGAAATGAAAAATAGCATATAACATAAAGGAGTTGAGTTTTTCTTAGAAAAAAGGTTGAGACACACACTCTCTCTCTGTCTCCCTCCCTCCCTTCCCTCCTTCCCTCCCTCCCTCCCTCCCTCCTTCCCTCTAATTTGCTTTCTAAATAAATTTTGTTTGAAAACTTAAAAAAAAAGAAAAAAGTTTGGAGGTGGACTTAATATAGCATTAAGAACAATACGGTTAATATATAGGTGATCAGGCTTCAATATATTCTTACTATTAAATAGCTACTCTAGACTTATGAATAAATGGATATGAGTCCAGAAGCAGAAAGGAAAGTGCTAGCATGAAGGAAAGGGGTGGGATAAAGTATACTACAAGTTTTTTTCTGATGTAAAGACTAAGAGAATAGGGAAACTATTCCATCTATCTTTTCTCCATTAAGTTATATATATATATAAATAACTTGCCTATATAATTGCATCATTTCTTTGAAGTTAGTACTTAACATTATTTTGTAAATACATTGGAATTAACATTAAAGTCAATAAACCAAACAAAGTTCCCAAATAGAATGCTATACCTTCCAGGTGAATTACTAGAGAAATTTCAAATTGGTCAAGAATCTAATTTTGGTTCATTGACTCAGCCTGGTGTCAGTACTATCTTTTTTATTTTCAGTTACCCTTCAATTCTACCACTTTTCCACCCCTGACCATACATTTTCATTTGCCTCCCTCCTTTTCCTTGTTCTGTAACTTAGTAATAGGCCAGAACCAGTCACTTTCAAAATTGATTAAAACAAAAGACATGCCAGGCGTGGTGGCTCAAGTCTGTAATCCCAGCATTTTGGGAGACCAGGACAAGAGAATTGCCTGAACCCACGGGTTCGAGAACAGCCTGGGCAACATGGTGAGACCTCATGCCTGTTGTGGTGCATGCCTGTAGTTCTGACTACTTGGAAGGCTGAGGTGGAAGGATTGCTGGAGCCCAGCAGGTTGACACTGGGGTGACCGTGAGCATGCTACTGCACTCCAGACTGGGTGATAGAGTGAGACTCCAACTCAAAAAAAAAAAAAAAGACACCATATTGATAGCCCATTTTTTTAATTATACGAATTTTTCATCACTCTTTATTGCAATAACATTTACCTCATTTCCTTGCCTTCATACATGCAACAAGATACAGCAAAAAAAAAAAAAAATCTGGCAGAAAATGTTAGATAAGCAAACTTGTTAACATTTATCTTTCACTATATGCAGTAGATAGTTAAGAATATAGAAGCTATAAGTCAAACATCATAATATCCTTAATATATATATATAAATATATATATATTTATATATATATATATTTATATATATATATATTTATATATATATATGACTTTAGAAATTGAGTTCGTTCATGAATTTCATGGGTTTAGAATTCTGCCAAGTCCTAGATTAACTCTAAACCTGTATTCTGTTGAGAGGATCTATGTTACCACCTTGTTCCAGAGGCTGCAGGAGGGTCATGCTCCCCTACATATGCTATAAAAATTGAAGTCCTTAACATATAACACTTTCTTTTAACTGAGCCCCACATAAATAATAAGGACTGAAACCTTTGTTCGGTATTGTTTAAGAACAAAATGATCAACCCAGTCACAATCTACAGAATCACTAAATGTCATTAGAAGCCAATTCCATATGCTAACTCATACTGTCACCATTCTTCAGTGTTGAAGAGCCTGACCCTCACTTATAATGTCTCTATGAGGAAATGTGTAATGGAGATGATATATACCCACCTTGCCCTGCCACCATGCTGGTGAGGAAAGAGTGTGTTCCAGAGTCCCTTCTGAGAGAATAGAAGAGTAAAGCTTAAGAAATGAGGCAGCAGCTGGCTCTTGCATAAGTTAGGTACTCAAAATTAGAAGATTCCCTTAATATCAATAAATATGTAGTAATTGAGAAAATGATTTCTACAAAAGATTCGTGGAATTTTTTGTTTGTTTGGTTGGGTCTTTTTTTGTTGATAACATGGAACTGACCCAGAAATGTTCATAAAGTTCACACTTTTAAGCTAAAAAGTAATTCCATGGTTTTAACAAAGTCCTGTCTTCAGCATTTGGTGCATTGAAAGAAGCATCTTCATCTTCTTCATCTAGCTGTAGGCTGCCAGAAGATAAGCGGATTCTGGCCATGGGTGACCTTATTCCTTTGCCATACAAAGAGTAGTAGTCTGGTTTAAGAATCTCTGGTTCAGAATCACTGGATTCACTAGGTGCATACCTTTCTGCTGTACTCTGATCCATTAAAACTGCTGGATACTCCTGCTCTGCAAACATGTGTGTAAACAGGTCTGCTTTACGGCTGAGGGCAGGACAAGGCCCTAAAGGTCTAAATTCTGACCCAAAAGGAAAACGGACAGTTTTCATATCTGATTGACTCTGAGACCGTTTTGGAGTTTGCTCTTGAATGTTACATGCAAATGCGTCTTCTAAATTTGGGTCTTCCTCTTCTAGATCTACATTGATGTTGCTTCTACCACTAGTCCTGACCATAACTTCTTGGAGTTCTTGAAGGTCTTGCTGAAAGCTCTTCACTCTGATATTCCTTGGGCTTCTTTTGGCTGGTTTCATCGCAGTGGACTCTACGTAGCTATCTGGCCTTGTCCTTTCCTCTGCTAAGATTGGCGACCGTCTGGGCACCTGGGGTGGCTTGTCCACATAAAAAAAGACTTGAGGAGGCATAATATCAACCTGCTGACTAGTACAAGGAATATAGGGCACATCTGTGTAAGTTAGCTGCCTTGCTGGACTCGCTTTGCTTGTGATGCCAGAAGATGTGCTCAAGTGATTGTCAGCAAGCTTATAGCTTGTTTGGAAGGAGCTTAGAGGACTCCTCTCTGAAAAGAAGTCTCTAGGATCAGGGTCAGGATCGGGCTGAGTGGTAAAGACAGGGTCTGTATAAATAAAAGGGAAAGAGGAACTACTCTGGGATTGATGCAACAATGTAGGATTTGCCTCTGGTTTGGAACGCTCCAGCTCAGCTGCAAACGTCACCTCCACTGCGGAGTTCCTCCTCCTGCTGTCTAACACTGGCTCAGATGCATGCACTCCATTCACGTTCCGGTAGTATCCACCACCATATGCTAGTCTCAAATCTTCCACCTTGAGGGAAAGAACAGGTCGGTGACAAGGAAAAGGCCATTTCGTTAGGGTACAGGGAGAGATCGAAATTATCCTTGAATTTTGAAAAGGTTGTTTTTCACAAAGTTATTTCAATCCATGTTATATTCCAGGGTAGAGAATATATACAGAAAGGGCAATAACTTGTACCACACCCCAATTTGTGTATTAAAAATATATGTGACACTATTCTTTCTCGTGCCATCCCACTTTCAGACTCCAAGTTTATGTACTTCAAGCAGTTTGGTTTGTAGCTCTATCAGTGAACCAAGAGTCCTGCTTGTCAGTCCTGACTCTGTCTCTGACTTGCTGTGTGATGTTAGACAAGTCTCCTATCCTTGCTTCTCCAGTTTCTTCACTACTTTCTGTAAAATGGTGCAGAAGAGGGCTATAGATGGCACAAGAGGTTTATATACTAGATGATCCCTTTTATCATTAGGCCTCGGGTGCCTTTTAGATAAAAACTACCTGCGGCTTGAACCAAGGCATAAGAGTTTGTGAGACCTATAATTATTATTTTTTTTTAGAAAGAGAAAAAACGAATTAACCAGTTTCATACTCTAAATTTCAAAGGAAGCCATCATCTCACAGATCTACGGGAACAACACATTGTCCTTAAGTTACAAAATTACACAGCATACTTCAAAACCTTAACCCAAGGCCTTCTACTTTTCCTCTAAGCCTTATGATTTTATAGGTTAAGAAAAAGCAGAGCGTTTAGTTTTAAAAATTCAAAGTCATAGAAATTCATTTGGATCTGCATTTTGCAAGATGTTAGCCATACAGGTTGCAATTTGAAGATGTGCCAGATCCTTCCAGTCTGAAAGGTACACACCAGAGGTAGTTTACTAAATGGTCTTCTATTGGCAGGAAAGACAGCTGACAGACCTCCCCAGGAGGCTAACCTACTCAAACAGAGTAACCTTTTTTACACACTGGGATTCTGGCAGAATCAATTCTTAGATGCATTTAAAATCTGGACAAATTTCACTAAAGAAGTGAAAATTTTTAGAAACCTTACTTGTTTTGACACATCAGAGAGGAGATCTGGCGAGGACCTGCACTGTCGCTCATGGTACTGAGATGGGTAATGTTTCCTGAAATCCCCAAACAGAGAAGTCATTGAAATGGCCTTCATATGAATGCCAGGATACATATAAATCTCTCAATTCAACTTAAAATCAGAATGAAAGAAACAAAAGCATATACCTTTCAAATGGCAAGCTCTTCAACCTCCCTTTTTTTCCATATTCTAAAAGTTGCCTTTGGGTTCTTCCACTATCATAAAGAAAAGATAAAAAACATTTATTCCAGTCATAAACCAATAGGCTACTAAAACTTAAAAGCCTTATTTATTGTTGAAACCAAAAAAGTCTTAATTAATGACATATGTCATGAATCTTTGACCATCACATTAATCATAATACACACTTATCCAAGAACCAGGGACAGAACAACCTAAACTACCCAGAACCCAGAGATTTTTAAAAAGCCTCTGAGCAAGGCTGCATAACA